GTCCCCAGGAAAGCAGTTTGAAGGAGCTGCCCTTCTTCATTGTAGTCCATTATAACAGAAGCATTACTTTCAGGGGGGTTGTATATATTCCTGTAATAGCCAATGGAGCGAATAGTCTGCATGGTATGACGAGCAACGCTGGGCATGGTGACAGCAGAAAGACGATCCAGCAAATCATATTCAAAGATATACTGCCGTTGGCTATGAAGCAGAAGAACCATTGACTGAAAATTAAGAACAGATTTTTACCATGTGACAAATGGCGGAGTACCTCCTTGCATCCCCCTGCCATATACACATACTATTTCTTTGCAAAAATGTGACATTCCCACTTGGGAAAATTTATCTCCTCTTTAATTGAGTTATCCTTGACCTTACATGTTGTTAACATCTCCCTGCCTAATTTACTTGGATGCTTAATTGTAAGGGGTTCTGTAATTAGTAGTTCGACATTCATAATTTGCTACTTGTTATGACTGTATCACTTTTATCAAGCACTCACAGCTAAACAGCAGATTGTCAATGGATTCAGATAAGTCATGTTTAATATGGGAAGAAGTAAAACTGTCTTAGAGCCATTAACTCACGAGGAGAACAACATATGGGAGATACAATTTCTTCCCTACGATTAGAGATGATTTTGAAGAATTTGAACAGCCTGGGATCCCTGAATACTGTGTTCTTGTTCCGTAAGTGTTTAAAACATAGGCGAAACAATTGTTTGATTATTTATATCAGAAGGAGCCACCCGGGATTATTCTGACATTTTTCTGATGTGTGGCTATTATGTATCGTAGGTCTTGATTAAATTATGTCTGTAATGTCTAGTAAACAGCATTTGCCGAGCAACAGATTCAATAGAAATACATTTAAATGCCACAAAGAAATAGATTCTGTTTTTGCACAGCAGGGATGAGATTTCAGAAGGGAGATTTTCACAGCTGTTTCTAGAGGAAGAACTTATCATTCAGATATCGTTATATACAAGGAAGATTCCTGATTTTTGCCTGTTGTTTTTTTCTATGCTACAACAAAGAGCAAGTGTAAACTGACAGCTTTAACTATCTAGAAACAAGAGCTTTTCTTGATATTGGAAAAAAAAACCAGCAGTGAAGAATGTACAAATAGATAATTTTCAGCTGACTTACATTGCAGAGATCTAGTTCCTGTACCTTATTTTAACAGTTAAGATAAAAGGTAAATGTAGATGCTGCTTGTTAGTCTAGCCGAAATGATTTTAAAAGTCATCAATTCTTAACAGTCACCTAAAACAAGGCTGCATATCTATTTTATAAAACATTCCCATAGGAACCACATGTTGATACTTAGAATAATCCAAATATGCTTCTGCTACGTCTTTTTGGACTGCACAGAGCAGTCAGATGCTGTATTATTTTAGCAAAATCAAAGCATTTTTAAAACCTCAAGTGTCCTTTACCTTCTCCAAATATGTGTAACTCCAAGTTTTTCCATCAGCAAACACTCTAGACACAATCCTTCCCTGTCCGTCATACTCTATTTTTTCACTAGTTGTCCCTCGCTGTATGCTGCCTATTTGCCCTGTGGATGAATAGGTAACATTGACAGCCATCAGCTTGCTGCTTGGTAGCCACAGGGTTGGGTGCCCTGACGTGTCATAGGCAATCCTCAGCAGGAATTTACGGTGGTCGTCGTAGATCTTTTCTGTCTTAGTGGTTCGATCAAAGTCAACTGAAAGGAGGTTTCTGCCATTAACCTTTTAAAAACAAACAAAAGGACACAATAAATCAAGTAAATTTGCTACCTATTATTTCCAGGAAATGCTAGCTATTATTTAAGTGCCATTTCCAGTGATTGACTTGCTGTGTATATAAATTATTTTAGCACCTTCTTAATATAAATGTGACACACTACATTAGCATCTATTTTAAATAGGTCTATTCTGTGAAGGAATCTGGTGTAATTTGGGTTTTTTTATTGACAGTCAGTGTTAAGAAAATACTGAAAGATACACACTGAAAGCTTCTGCAATAAACAGTGCCATTTTGGAGAACAAATTGCTCCTTTTGCGAGCAGTCCAAATTTTATCTAGCAAACTTTTCAGTCATATTCCCAGCAATTGCTGGTCAAGTTCATAACAATCATACTCAAGTACTGAATACCAATCTTCCACAGCACATATTTATCAAAAGAGTAAATACAAAATTAAAATCTTCAAAAGAACATTTAGTTTTCAAGTTATGACAGACAGCTTTTAGAACATAGGCATCCCCCCTTTTAGATCAGATGGAAATGAAAACAGCGTACCATCCACTGACGCAACGTACTATAAGGCCAAAATGCTCAGGAGAGGATTCTGTCCTTTGCCCATTTAACTGACCAGTTAAAGCCATAAATGACTGGAAGACTACAGAACCACTGAAAAACACTTACAAATTTGAATCTGAAATAGGTATATTTATGATGAAAACTGTTTTATCAGTACATGTAAGCTATAATGATGGATAGTGAGTTATATATAACACTTTTACATTAGAATCTGTCCCTGATGTTTCAGTATCTTACGTTAACTTTCAGTTTCATTGAAGCAGCTCTTATTTTTTGTATGCATGAAATGAAAATGTCTGGTTTTCTTTTCCCATACTGGCATCTTTGCAATTCTCTGCTCATCCTCTCTTAACTGCTTTTTAGTGTTCTCTAACAGACCTCTAGGTTTCTTTGTTCATCTGCAAACCATTTCTGTATCTGGTTTGCCCTTTTAAAGTTATTCTAGATAAGGGTGAAACACTGATAACTAAGACTTTTTAATGCTGCATCTTGCTAACATATGAGAAGTAGAGGACAAATAGACACAAGTATATGTATTAAGAATTTTTAAAAATTCCTATTCAAGTACTTGATGCATACATATTAAAGAGGTGAAGAAAGATGGCTAAATAACATTTAGCAAAGAAAAAGAAAATGGATACTAGACCAAGGAAATGGCTAAAGGTTTTTTTTGCATTTTTAGGCCTGTATGGTAAAAAATCCATATACCATGGATTTTGGTTCTTTTACCCAGAGACTGATACATTTTCAAAAGAAGGACTAATATAAATTAGGTTTTTTATTATTAGCATAAAAGGTATTAAAGTACTGGAGATGGGTTGTAGACAAATATGAAAAAAACCTCCTCTGAATACTCAGTTTTGCTTATACCTGTTTGCTTATTTATCGGTCTTATCTACATCATTTATGTTGATGTGCTCATTTTTAGTATGAACTCACTAGCATGACAACCATCTGCACTATTAGTATTTCAGAACAAAAAGCATATTTTCATGCAAAACTAAGAAAAGAACACAAAAAGTCTGGTAAGATGCAGAATTCCTGCTTTGTGGATTACATTAACTGTCAAATATTATTTAAATACACTGTGAAAAATTAATGCTAGAAGACTGATTCTGAAAGTTAATTGTTTTTTAATATCTTTCACGTATTTTTTGTTTAAATATTTCAACACTTACATTTGATCATTCGCCTAAATCTGTACTTAAATCTTGTCTATTTCTGGCTTTTGCTTCTCAGCCTCTCCCCATGCATGCCTGCAGTCATCTCTCCCTCTCTCTGCCCATTTTGTTTCTCTGATATTTTTCTTCCCTTTCTTTCCCTTCCTTGTTTAACATTTAATTATGATTTTTAATAATTTTCTTGTCGGCTTCTCAGGCTTAGATGCTGAAGTGAGAAGAGGCACTTCTGATTTCCGAACAGGCAAAGAGGGAAGGGTGGTTTTATGGTTAAGGCAGATGTCCAAGCAATTGCAGATAATTTCTTGGCTAAGCACATCCTTCCGGTGTAAATTACAGCAAAGTACTTAATCTAGCTGTCTCACTGCCTTATCTGCTAAATGGGATAATAACATCCCTTGATTCTCCCTTTCCATCTGTCTGGTCTGTGTAAGGACAAAATACAAGAGGAAAGGAAATGCCTCTTTCTATAGCCAGATTCATGCTTCCAAAATCTGCTGACAGAGCTCTTGCATTCAGACTTGAGTGTTTGGTGAAACTGGCTGTGCTTGCATAATCCGGTGATACAAGTGACAAGGTTTGGGGACGTAGTTTTTTTCACTGGGTAGTATGGGACTAGAATAATGTCAGTCAGTTGAAGTCCTGCCTTCAACTGAAGCATTTTTTAACAATAGCTTGGCTACCAAAATGCTTCTACAGTAAAACTTAAGAATGTTTGTGTTGTGTCTAAGACAAGCGTACTCTAAATAGATTTGATAATTCTGGGCTTCATTATGATATAAGGAGTAACTTAGGAATTTTTCAGTGAATAAACACTTAATGACCCAAAACCAAGTCTCTTGACACCACCTACATGCTATTCTACTCTTTCACTAATTACAACGTCCACCTACCCTGCTCTGCTTTAACTCCTGGCTTTATTTCTAGTGCTTCAGTGAGAAGCATGAAATCAGACAGTGATTTCCCCATGAGGATTACAGATATATTGTCGTGCCTTGCAGAGAGATTAAAGAGATTATTTGAAATCTGGAGACTTCTTCAAGGCTTGGAGCTTATAAATTTTCTGAAGGTAGTGCTAAAACCCTTCTTGTGAGCTCTCTGTTGGACGTTACATGTCCTCTCTATATACACCTCTTGAGACAAAGCTCATACCAGCTCCTTTCTTTAAGACACTTGAGAGAGAAGATCTGCCTGGCCTCAGCACAAATGCCCCAAAAAAGCCCTTCCATGAGGAAGAGTGCCAGCACCTGTGCCAAAGACCTCTGGAACAATACACATGCAACAAACTTGAACAAAAGTTAAACTGACAGAGAATGGTTAAAGTTAAGGGGCGGGGAAAAAAATGATACATATGTGTTTTTTTAAATAAAAGACTATTAGTAGTGGGTATAATACATACAAAACAGAAACCCAAGAGAGTTCCACAGAGTGTACTCCATGATGTTATATACCGCATATATATGAGTACATTTACATATTTTCATTACATTTTGTTTACATTTGTTTTCTTTGCAGCAAAATGTTACTGCTGTATCTGTAGATGGAAATGATGAACTCTGTGAGTTATTTGTACTCTTTCTGATCCTGGTTTCTTTTTCTGTTTTCCTACAACCCCCCTTCCTGCCCCCTCTGCAAACTTTCTATAGTTTCTTCCTATGTAAATTACTTTGAAAAAATCTTCCCTTTTTTTTTGGTAAATCAATTATTAGGCCACACTCTCTGCTTGCTCTACTTCTCCCATTTGTATATACATTTTTAATTACTGCTATTTTATACTGTTTTATGATCTTTCACTTCCTCCCTCTTAGGTTAGATCTTTCCCACCTCTTTGCTCTTTCTTCTTTCAACTCTTTCACATCAGAGTTTCCCTTGACATTTCTTTAACCTCCTTAGTATTTGAATCAACTTTGCTTTTCTTTTTAGAACTGGACTAAGGGAGATTTGTTTCAGTGCCAAAACCAAATATAATCAATATTGTTATTTTACTTTTCCGTAGGCTTCCTTCAAGAATGAATTGGCAGATTTACTCTATCACCTTGTTATGTAATGAAACAACTATGAACCAGAACCAAGGATGAGCTTCATAAGCATGGGTTCCTTTTGCTCTTCCCGCTACCATAGCTAGATGCAAGTATGTTGTTCTTAAGCAGCAGCTGTTGTATCTAATCATCCTTCCTTCCTGGAGAAAAATCAATTACTCTTTCAGGGCAAGTAGTAGAAATGTAAGATGCATGACAGCATTCTCTCCTTCCCAAAGGAAAATATAAAAATTTTAAATTTAAAAGTAGCATGTTACTATCTTAGAAGTCAAGTGGTTTGAAATTATTTACCTTTACCTGATATACTGCTTAGGCCTTATTTTAAACAATTGAGTTCAGTCTTAATATGTCAGACCTCCAATGCAGTCTTGAAATGGTTTCCTGGCAACTCTATTTCAAATGCTTAATCTATGTTGTCTTTACCAAATGGCTGTCATAAATCAGTTTGCTTCCTACTTACATTTCACTCACTATATAGGAAGAAGAAATGCCAACAAAATGGTAAAGACATATGTTAGAGGAATATGTCATTCACAATCACACAGTTGAACTCTCTCTACCAGAAATAAGTATTAGTACAACTTTTATTAAAAATTGCAAAGAAAGAAAACTCTGGGCCCATGGTGGCTTATGGTACAATAATTTAAAACAATTTAAAATCAGGTATGTGAATTCAGCGCTGGAAATAAGAAGTGAAGGCAAATCTAAAAATCATCTTTTTATCCTTTTTCTTTTCAAGTCATTGCAGGCTAAAGCCAGTGTAGATTTTACAGAAAAGAGTAATAAGGAAGAAGACACAAAGTAATAAAAGCAACAACTTCCAGATCAACACTAAGCTTACCTATGGTAAATATTCTGTGGCTGCTGGATGGCAGTATCTACAAGAATGTGTTTATCTTCCTGTAAGTAAGAATGCAGTAGACACTACCCATGCCTGTTTGCATGCTTACCCTGAGCTTTCGGCCAAATACGTTGACTTTTCCCTGGGTTTGCTCCTTCCGAAATCGCCACTCCACCAGGTTCTGCCCATTCTCCCCTGGCAGAGTCATGTTTCTCTTTGCCACTGTTGGATTGGCAGTGCCAGCCAAGACATGCGGCTCCGTCTGGTAGTGAGAATCCAGGCCACTGGCATACAGGATTCTGAGTGAGCCATCATAGCCAATCTGGTAGCTGTTTCTTAACTGATCTGAAAATGCAAAAGAAAACCAAAACAAACAAACAAATAACAAACAGAAACACACATATGTGTGTTAATTCTTTCTTTGTCCTGCACTCCTTATACACTGTATGCACATAACACCTTTACCTTTACACACTGGAAATAAAACCCAAGGATGAGAGAGATGACGACATCCATATCGTATACACACATATCACAGGAAAACACAAATGCCTTTGGGACATACCTTCAAATTCACTTAAACACTTAAGAAAAATCCCACCTCTAGAGTATGGCACAAAATGTATTCTCTGCTGCTTCATTGGACATTTTTTGCCTCATCCTGTGCCTGCTGTGACTACTGACTTTTGCTAGGATGTGGCTGCTGGAATCTCATGTTCTATTTTAAAGCCCAAATCTCACTTAAGTTATTTGATTAGGAAACATTTAATTACACTTTTATTGTACCTCCTTCCTTCCCTGAACAGATCTTTTTATGTATCACCTCCTCCTCCAAACATTAGGAATGTAAAGCTTCTGATTTGAGCTGCTTGTACTACAAGAAATTTGGTTTCAGGTCAGTATCTGAGAAATCCTTTGTATACAGTACCTTGAACCATGGTGTAGAAAGAATCAATTGATGATAAGTTGGAAGTGATGCTGACATCCTCCTCTCTACTGGATGATTCGATGTCCACTGTAATGGCTCTTTCCATTTCCCCATGAAGGTTAGTGACAACTCCAGTAGGGAATGTGACATTTGTCAGACGGCCCTCACTATCGTAGCTTAAAAAACAAAAAAGTTCCTAAGTGATACATGGCATGGAACAAATTGTTTTCATTTACAAGTAAGACGAATCAAAATACCAGCTACTCAGAATTGCTAAGGCACGTTTACTTTTTGTGCATGGGATAGGCACAGCAAAGCCTTCAAGCATGCTTGGAAGCAGTGAAAAGACTGTTTAACATAAAGGAGCCTCAGTGGTGACAGCAAGAGCAAACAGATGGATCCTCAGCTCCACATATTATTCTTCGAAGTGTGACCAGATCCCGCTGCACAACTGACACACCATTTCAAAGGGAGTGTATTAGTCAGTGCTAAATTCTGTATCATTCTGCACTCACTCCCTAAGACCAGAATAGATTTTTGCTGTTATTGTAGGAATTCTCACAGACTTTTCCTTTGGCCCTTCTTAGTCCTTCTTGGCTCTGAGTAGGCAGAGCACTTGCACTCCCATTCCTGAGCACTTAACATCCTTTGTATTATTCAGAGAAAGGATCTTGGGTAATATTTATTCTACTACTTAAGCTATTTGTTTGTAGCTGGAAATCATATAATATGCAACTCATTAGCTTGAGAACTGTGGCACAAACCATGCAGGAGGTGTGTTTTCTGTCTTTGCTGACATTTCTTTAAACTAATAGCTATATAGTCATTTATGTATGAATAGGTAGATACAATGCCAGTTAGTGAAATAGACTTAGGACTTCTGAAGCATATCTTTTCATGTGCTGTGTTTGTTAGGTGTACTCCAGCTATTAATACCACAGATAAGAAATGCACAGCTCCGTGTATGCGAAAAACAAGACAAAGGAAGTGATCCCATCAGAAGTACTGCACTTTCTGACATTCAAGTAAGTGTGATGGCATACTTCCATCAGGTTTTTCAAACACCAGACCAAGAGCATGCTCAAACCCACTGCAGTCTTAGAGTTCAGAGGCAAGGTATTGTGTAAGCTTCAGGTCACACAGCTGCCTTTGAGATTAGCTCCTCCAGTATGACAGCCTAGATTCATCAGATTAGGTGTTCTACGGAGGCTCCGAGTTCACAAGTATAGTCTCTCTGTATCTGCAACAGAGAAAAACATCTAAAGGGTGATTCAACCCACCTAAGACCTATTTGCTGTCTGTAGCTGCCCATCCATACCACAACTACGTAGGAGGAAGCTAAAGGAAGCTTTAGTCTCCCAAAGTCCTTATAACACAACCCTGCATATCCACAACATGTGCTAGGAACTTCATACTTACAATTATTATCAAAATTGCTCCCTTTGAAAGAGAAACCCCTCAAAAAAATCCCCAAAACTCCAAGCATATCACTGAGGCTACAGAAACTCATTTTTAAATGGGGAGAATTAATTCCAAATGGTTTTAACCCACAGTACTCTTACTTTCTCTGAATATCATGAGCACTGAACGGATTGCTGTAACTGAAAAGATTAGGTTAAGAATTTTCTTTTTCCAGTTTGCTTACTCTGTAGATGACAGCTTTTTGCACACAGTCATTTTCATCCTTTTAACACAGTTGATTTCCTTTGTTTATGAGAGACTTTCACTTAGCAACAGGGAAAAGAAAAGAATGTTTGAAAATCAGAAACCCTTCTGCAAGCCAGGGAAATCAAGTGGGAAAACTTGTTTCTTGAAGTTAAGTATATTTCAAGATAAAAGTTTCCTTTTTTTTTTTTCTTTCCTTTTTTCCAGGGTGTTTCTATTCCTAATTTTGGCTCTCTTTCACGTACAAGACTTGGCAAGCAGAAATACTGCATGTATGCAAGAAACTAAAACAAACATACCAACATTCCTTGAGCGTAAATTTGACTGCAAACCCATTAATGACCTTTGGTTCCATAATTTTTTTTTTTTTCACACACAACTTCCCTCTTTAACTCCCAGGGGAATATACATTCTCCAATTAGTGTCCTTTTCTGTTTTCCACTTCACAGAGGAATGCCTGAAAATACTATCAAGTTATCTTGTTGGGAACTACTTGCATCCTTTGATTCTAGGAGCCAAGTGCCAGTTTTCGTTTTGACCAATGCTTCCTAAAGCCATAAAAGGTAAGATTTTTCTGTGAGAACTTTTTGCTCTTTGAATCACAGTATTTATGAGAAGTTATATTTCTCAGTTCAGCACTTGCATTGAAAAACAATATGCATCAGTAGCTTTCAGTAGTGTATGGCTTCACTACAGCATGCAGCGCTGAACATTGCTATTCTTGTTATATGCATTCTTGCTTCCACATTATTTTTTTTTACTTTATGTGTATAGATCCTGAACTGGTCTCTTCTTTCATAAATACATAAAACCACAAGTATCAGATAAGCAGCTATTATTATTGCAGAGGGGGAGAGCTCAAAGATCAACAGAAATTCATGCTACTCATTCATGTTCTTAAAAACACGTCCTGAAAGTGAAAAGAATCTAAACAGTTGTGATTGCTTGATCCAGGCATCCAAGTGCAGGAAAAAAACATGAATGAGATGTGAAAGGTAAGAACAGAATTTCTCCTACTTTTATAGCCAGGAACAGAAAAAAGGCAATAGGTCTTTTCATAACTTACTATATACTCCATTATGTGATGGATTATAATGTGTGCCCTTCATCCCGTTCACAGCACGTTGAATACTAAACTTACTTTTATACTTGATATCTTTTTGCTGACAATGAAAGCCTTATCAATGCTCAACGTAACAACATCATTCATACCTTTGGGCATTCCTATACCATTTTTCTTATTACATCCAAATATCCTTGCATTCGGCTGCCAAGGTGAATTTATTCATCCAAGTTTGTCAGTTTTAGACCAAGAGATTTCTTTTATCTGTCTAGTGTTCTAATATTGAAATTGCCCTAAAAGGAATGAGACGTAAAGTCTATAGGGCAAGCACCTATATTTGGCATTTCACAAACACTTTGATCTTTTCATCCAAACACAACTCAAGTACACGTTACTGCTGAGCCCTCTGACCTGTCTCCTGTGAGAGGCTCCATGGCAAAGCCATTCAACCAACCTCTTGCATTCCTCAAGAGAAGGTAGCACATCAGCTTTTTAGGAACCTAAACCAAAAATTGCATTTACCTCATGTGTTTTAATCCTACCAACCCTATTTCACTCATTAACTCAATGATCTTCTTG